TGGGAGGGGAGGGGAGGGGAGGGTGGATAGTAGGGGATAGGAAAGGTAGCAGAATATAACAGTCACTAATATGCCATTATGTAAAAATGTGAGTATGTAACAGATGTGATTCTGCAATCTGTATTTAGGGTAAAAATGGGAGTTCAAAACCCAATTGAGTCAAATGTATGAAAGATGATATATCATGAGCTCTGTAATGTTTTGAACAATCAATAAAAAAAATTCCCAAAAAGTATAGAAACCACTCTATTAAAAACAAAACATTATTGGAAAAAAATTTTAAAAACTGAAAGAAAATGAGAACATACACAATGTTCTTTAACTGAAATATTCAACATGTCAAGATGCCAATTCTTTCCAAACTGATTTACAGATTTAATAGTATGCTGAAAAATATCCCTGGAGAGTGTTTTAGAAAATTCACAAACTGATTCTAAAATTTGTTTGGAAATACACACAGTTGAGAGTAGACAAAACAAACTTGAAAGAGCAGAAGAAATCAGGAGAGTTCCCCTTGCTGGATGTCAGGAGCAGTTATGGAGCCTCATGACCTAGTCTGGTCTAGCACTGAGTCCATCAAGGTGCTGCATGGGTGAGTTTTGTACTTCTGTTATCCTGTGTTGGCAAGGACTAGGGCCACACAGCAAAGATGGGGACTTCCATGTGAGAAAAAGAATCTTACCTTGGGAATGAAGTAGTTTCTGAAATTAATGTCACAGGTCACTGCATGGGGTGTATTGGTTGGAACAAGGTCAATGTATCTCTGGATCTCATGCAGGACAGCTTCTGTGTAGGGCATACTGCTCCTGTCCTGCATGCAGGGACTGCGGTGTCTGCCAATCACACGGTCAATCTCTTCCTTGACTTTAGCTGGTAAGAAACAAATAAGAACAAATGGAAAAGAGAAAAATAATATATTTCTTAAAATAATTCAGGGTTATGTGAGGCATTGTGTGTGTATCCAAAAGTTATTATAGACATGACTTATATGCAACAAGCACTTCTGTACATGTAAAAAGATCACCATAATACTTTCTCTATTTATCAATACTTATCAACAAGTATTGATACACATATAAAAACACATATATACATACACATAAGTATATAGGAGTCACATACATTCATGACTCTCCTATAAGCTAGGTATTAAAATATATCTATAAACTTATATAAGCCTAACATTCTAGCATATATGATAGCAAATAGAAATAGAAACTATGAAAAGTTTCAAAAATCAAGTCATCACATAAGTAATTAAATAATTAATATCATCATGGATAGAAAAACAAGAAGAAACATAATTTTACACCAAAATAATATATGACATTATAAAATTAAATTCTACTAATGGATCTATATGTATGCATGTCTCTGTGCATGTGTATATTTGTGTATGAGTGTGTTTGTGTTTTTCTGTGGGACCCTTTTCAGTCACTCATTCCTTAATTGTAGACTTTTTGAATCATTTAAAAAATTTCTTCTGAAATGTTCTTATTTTTGAATAATTATATATTTTGGTTCCTTGATTTATCCAAGTTTAGACAATTTTTAATGAGTTCCTCATAAGAAACATTAAGATCCAAATCTACTCCATGCAAAATACATACCACAAATAAATATATACACTCACATAGCTGACATATTTTCACTCTCTACTCCTATACATATTGATCACAATTTTTTATTATATAAATATATTTTGTTACAACATTATGACTACATAATCAATTTTGTCCTGTAAAGTAACAGTATATGTTTCATTTATAGCATATGTTTAACCTATATTTGAACAACATATACCAATTCCTAATTTTGTAGTTGCTTATATTGTATCCATATGCTTAGGTTGATGTTTCAAACTCCTAGTAATAATTTACTAAATGTTTCAAATTTTCTCTTTTATTTTACTTTCCTTTGATTACACCTGCTTTATCTATTTAATATGGACAATTGGTTGTTTCCTAGGCCTAGTTCCCAGGAATTCCTTTAAACTCCCCTTCTTATACATATGGTATCTTGATCCCAGGAACCTGTGACTACCTCTGCCTTGATTTTGAATATTTGGATGGAGCATATACTCTAGTATCTTTCTGTGAAAGAGAAAAAGGGGGATACATTTTGTAACAAAGATGGATGTAAAAACATTTTTCCTTTCTTTTTATTGATGTTTTGGTTTTGCTGTTGTTTGGGGATTGTTTTTTGATAGTTTGGTTGGTTTCAGTAGTGGTTTTTGTTTTTGTGTTTTGTGTTGTTTTATTTGTCCTGGGGATTGACCCAGAGCCTCTTTCTTTGAGCCACACCCACAGACCTTTTGTTTTATTTTGAAAGATGCCGGCCTACTCTAGCCTTGAATTTGCCTCAACTTCCTGCTTCAACCTCCTAATAGGTGGAATTCTAAGCTTGTGCCACCACATATGGTCTTACATTTTCTATTAACATACAAAATAACAGTTGCTCTTTAGAACTCTAATACCCTTCTAATTCATAATATTATGAAAATAATATATGGCTTACTTCTGATGTTTATATAATTTTTAACATGACTTTGATGTTCTAAAATTGATTACAGGACCTGCTAGCATCAGTTTCTCTAGAGTGTAAATCTCTCTTCTTATGAGAGAAAACATTTAACTGATAAAAGAGGTTGTAGAGGAGGGCACTGGAGCATAGAGGGACTCCTATTTTTTGCCTCAATTTCCCCTAATTTGTTTGACATGTGGTGTTTCTAAATGCTGAACTTTATGGATATTTTTAGGTATACAGATTGGCTTTTCTACACTAATACAACTTTTTCTTCTGACATAGAAGATATAGCTTGATACTCTCTGCTAAGTTATGTCCCTTCCTTCTGTTCTCTGTGTTTCAGAAATTTGTTGAAGTTTTGTTGGCTGTTATCTCTTTTCCTCTTTTCCCATAAAAGGAGTAACTCTCATTTGTGATTACTTTATAATGGGGTTTTGAAACAGGAAAAGATGGTGTTTGCTTGTAATCTGCTATGCATTACTCGAACTCTTTAAAGGTACATTTCTAAATAGAGTTGTTCAAAAAAGACAAAATTAATGGAAACACACTTCTGGAATAATGAAATCCTTTAGGTACACCTTCTAAGTAGCAACAATTTCAAAAATAAAGTTTAGTGTTCTAAACTTTTAGAAAACTTCTCAGACTATAGTAATATCCCTGCCACCTCATTAACTTTCTAAAGCTTCTATTTATACTCCAATAAAGAATTGATTTTCCTGATCTAGAACTAGAGCATGACGTTTTCAGAATAAGAAAAGAATTCCACAGAAATCTTGCAAGAACCCTCAGAATAATCCAAGTGGCTTCTCCTTAGGAAGTCCAACATGCAGTCTTAGGCCAACTCATGCTGGCTGTTGCATGCTGCAATCACTTCCCAGAGGGATGCAGACATGACCAGAGCTCCACTGCCTTGCTACTGCCCATGCTGTCCTTCACTTCTCTCAGTCACTGTCCCGTATTGTGCAATGTTCTCTTATTTTTTATCCCTTCATTATCTTTGGATTAATCATAACAAGCGGCACTGAAATTTCACTAAAGAAAGTTTTTAAGAGAAATAAGACAGAGGACATTAGCAGTGGTTTTTTCAAATTTCTGCAGTGAAATGCACCTTGCTCACCATCTGCAGTTATACCTGTGACCTCTGTGTGCTTCAACAGGAGCAGGAGTCCATATCTCAGAGTAGTGCTTGTTGTCTCTGTTCCAGCTCCAAACAGATCATTCAAAAGGCTTACTAAGGCTTCAGTGGTAAATTCAGTCTGTGGCTTGTTCTTTTCCTAGAAATAATTTAATGTACTTATTTCACAAATAATTTAGTACATAATTATAATAACTTCAAAAGAAATCAGATAGTTATAAAGTTAAGTCAACATAGACACAAAATAATACAATGTTATTAAAGTGTTATAAAATACTATAAAAAGGTACTGTGTGATATGGTAAATTACAGATTAATTGACCAAATCTCCATTTCTTACCCTCTTGAACCTTGTTACCTAAATATTCTGTTCACCATCCATTTCGTAACTAGGAAGGACATGCAATGTATTTCTTATCAATAAAATACAAACAAGTGTCTGTTGGTGCCACTTCTCTTTTCTTGTTTCTACTCAAAATATAGACACAGTATAGGTAAGACAAAAATTATTTTGAGAATTCAAGATTTAATCGTGAACATAAAAGCTAGTATAAGTACAATATTTTACTTCTTTTGTTGTTGTCATTGCTATATCAGACTACAAGAAACTGGGTGATTTATAAAAAATAGAGGTTTATTTTTTGCCAGCACCTCTCAACACTGCTACATTCAACATATGTTTTGGAGGGAACAAATCACATGAAATCTATAACACGTAGTGAAGGAAAATGGAAGACACACGAGTCTCTGATGAAAGCATGGTATTTGCAGACATGAAGAACAATGATTCAGAATTAAAGACACAGTGACAAATGCACATAGACACAGTCATCTGGTACTTGAAAAGGCTGCCAAAAACATGTTGCAGAAAAGATATTATTTTAATAAGTAATGATGAGAAACTGGATTTCCATATGTAGATGAATGAAAACTGATTACTATAATTCACCTTCCACAAAAGTAAACTCAAAGTGGATAATTGATATAGGAATTAGACCAGAAACTCTGAAATGGCTCACAGAAAATCTAATGTTAGTTTAGGATTCTAACACATTGGCACAAAAAACCAACTTCCTGAATAATATATCTAAAGCTCAAGGAGAAAAACCAAGAATCAATAAACGGCATGGCATTAAATTAAAAAAACTTCTTCACAGCAAAGAAAACAGGAGCATGAAGAGCCAACAGAAGTGGAGAAATTTTTTTCAGGTACTTTTCTGAAAAAGGATTAATATTTGGAATATATAAATAACTAAAAAAAAATCTTAATATAAAACAACCAGATGACCCAATTAGTCCATGGGCAAACAAACAGACATTTCTCAAAAGAAGAAATGCAAATGGCCAATGTGTGTGTGCGTGTGTGTGTGTGTGTGTTTAAATATCTCTTATGATCAGGTAACTGACAAAGTTAAACTGAAATTTAATTACACTTCACTTAGAATGTTAACTATCAAGAATACAAATAAAATTAATTGCTTTGGAGGATATCAGGGGATAGGTACACTCATGTTTTTAGCGAGACTGAAAATTTGTATTATCACTTTGCAAAGCAGTATACAGATCTGCATAAAACAGGAATGGAAACTTCATATGATTCAGCTCTTCTACTCTTGGTATTTACACAAAAGAACTAAAGTAAGTATTCTATAGTGATGCATGCATACTTGTGTTGATAGTGGTGAAATTCACAATGACCAAGTTATGGAAATATCCTAGATGCCCCTCAATTGACAGTCTAATAAAGAGTTATGATTTTTATTTTTAATTAAGATAAAGAAAATGTGATAAATATACACAATATTCGTTCTGCCATAAAGAAAAATGGAATTGTAACATTTTTTGATCAATGGATGAAACTAGAGAATATCACACTAAAAAATAGCCAGACTCAGAAAGTCAAAAGTTTAATATTTTTGCTTATTGGTAGAGGGTAGAGAGAGAAAAGAAATAGAAGGTAAACCAATAAAGTAGAGCAAAGGTAGAAAAGAGAGGAGGGCTTGGGGGAATTACTGGAGCACAGAATATAACAAATTATAATATCACATATTACAATGGGTATATATATGTATTAAATATATACATATTATAGATAGATTGATTGATTGGTTGATTTAGAATGGGAGAATTCCCCAGCATCCCCCAGTGGACAGAGTTAAGTAGGAAAACCATGAAAGCTTTAAAAAAAATAATGTTTGAACTTCTAAGTGTTAAACTACAAATCGCTGAAATTTAACCTTTGTCTTTCATATTACACTATTTTTTTTTCATTTTCCCCCTTTCTTCACTTCAGATTTTTTAAACTGGGTCTTGATACACTTGCTTATAGATTACCCAAGACCAATTAGCAAATTATGCTGTACTATTTAGTCAGTTGGTGAGTTCCCATTTTGTGACTCAGTCTGGCCATAAAGGGGACACTAAACCAGAATGAGGGAAAACATTCTTCCTCCTAGGAGATTCTGCAACTGAAACTCTGGAGGTGAACGCCTCCATTTCAAAAAACTGAGCAAGGAAAATAAATTTTCAAAAAGACAGATGTTGCACCAACTACTTGATACTCTGTCCTAGTGTCTGCCCAAATTTTGTGTTTTGCCAGAATTATTTTATGTATTTTGTCAATTAATTGGATTCTCTCTTAATATACCATTTCTTCTCTCTGATATCCTTTACTTTATCATGTCCTTCATCCTTTATATTCACCTCATTTTAACTTGTGTCTCCATTTCCTCCAACACCCTCTTTTTTTCCTTTTTATTCTAATTTCTTTATTTTTAATTTATCAATTTTTCCAACGAAATTTAATATACTAATATTAACACTTGATCTTCTCAGCCTATTATAAACCAATACTCTTTAGTCAATAGAGTTGTAGTGATTAGTAATGACTTCTGTAAACATTAGATTGCTCTTAAATTACCATTGTAGGAGTGATGATTCTCTCCTTTCAAAGGGGTCCAATGATACCAATGATAGAATTAATCTTTTTAAATTATAATTAGATGTGGGGAAGCTAAGTCATGGGCTTATTATCACTACTTAGAAAGACCCTCACATAAAACAGCAAGAGGAAACCCTCTTAACAGGTGAACAAAATAGGACCCCAGATAACATGAGCAAAAAGGATAACAGGACATCTACAAAAGTATGTAACTTACCAATAACTGAATTCACAAATTTAGATGATTAAAATTGTCAATGAATTCAAAGTATGCCTAAGGAACTAAAGAGGAGAGAAAATGTAAGAAGTGAAAGAGCATCTCAGTAACAAGAGAATTTAAATAAAGAATATATAGAAATTCTGAAAATAAAAAATTAAGTAAGTCAAATCAATATTCCATTAAAAATCTCACCAATGAATTATGCCACGTGAAAGGAAGAATTTTAGATATTTAAGACAAAGTGTATGAACTTTAAAACTCAATCAGCAATAATGCAATAAAGAAAAGAAAAGAAACCCAGTTCACAATATAAAGAAATCCGGGAAAACTTTGGAATTAAAGAAGGAACTGGGATAAAAGTTAAGGACATGCGTAACATTTTCAGTGAAATTTTCACGTCTTTGGAGTGAGAGAGGTTCCAAATAGAGGACATTAATAACGCCAAATAAAAAAGATAAAATAAGAACCTCTACCGGACTCATCAAACTTAAACACCTAAGAAACATAAAAAAAAAATTTTTAAAAGCCTCAAGAGATAATATCATGTCACATTAGAGGTAATCAAGGCAGAATTACTTCTGATTTCTTAGCTGAGAAAGTAAAAGATAGGAGGAAATGGAATTCCCAGCCTTGAAAAAAAAAAGATTGCCAATCAAAATTACTATATCAGGCAAAACTATCCTTCAGAATTAAAAATCAATGAAAATCTTTCCAGATGAGCAGAAATTATAGATAGCTGTGAGAAGGTTCATTAGGGTGTGGCTTTGGGTTTATATTTTGTCCTTGGTGCGTAGAACTCTCTGCTTACTGATAGCCAGGTCCTGAACTGCTTTCATGTTCATGTTATGTTCCAGAAAAGAAATTGTCTACATTTTGCCCAGGTCCTTAGCCTTTCTGTGAGGATGAATGTAATAGTGCTAAAGTAGTTATCAGGCAGAAGAAATTTTAAGGCTGCACAGAATTAAGACTGGGTCATGGATATTGCTAGTGACTTTCAGTCAAGTGTACTGTGATAATCAGAAGAAGAAATAAAAGGAGAAAGACTTGAAAAATTGTAGGTTAGCAGAAAAGTTCATGTAAAACTGGGGCTACAGAATTTGTGGTTGCTAAAAAGATTATAGCCAGTAAATGGATGCTAAGTAGTTTTAAAAAGGACAATAGGAAAGATGGCTTGAGTGCCTCTCAGGAATTGGGAAGACCACACCCATCTCAGTCTTAAGGTGTCAACGTAAAAATTCCTTTGAGAAGAAACCTTGGGAATACCCTACTTGTACAAGGAGCTAGGAAGATATTTCAATGTGCAGGATGATGCAGATAGGGAGACCTTCATAGCCATGGTCTCTGGAGGCTTGGTTGTTGATCCAGACGGTGACAAATCTTGGTGTCAAACATGTAGTTCTAGTATTGCATTAATGCAAGATGCTGGAATTAGGGGGTCATGAAGGATTCCTCCAAGATTTCAAAGGATGATCTGGGAGACCAAGCAAATTGGAGCAGGGTCAGATTTCTGTGCAGAGAGCCCCTGAAAGGGCAATGCATGATGTGAGCAGGAAGCTGAATCTACAGCGGAAAGCCCTGAGTTTAAGAAGTATTAATAACATTAAATATCCGCCAAAGAAATCCATAGGAGTTGAGCAGAGACAAACCAAGAGAAAATCCATGTGGATTGCAATCTGCAAGGCCAGAGGGGTGAAGTTATGCTACCTAATGTGTATTAGGTCATTAGTACCATAAACGTGGCCACTTGGACAAGCATCCACTTCTTTTCCTGCCTCTGCATCTTGTCTCTGTGTTTTCTTTTTATTTTTCTTAAACACAAGAAAGGATATAAATAAGAATGTGAAGACAACGTACAAAATGGGAGAAAAAAATTGCAAGCTACTCTTCCTGCAGAGGATTAATATCCATAATATAGGGGCTCGGGATGTGGCTCAAGCAGTAATGCGCTCGCCTGGCATGCGCGGGGCACTGGGTTCGATCCTCAGCACCACATAAAAAATAAAATAAAATAAAGATGTTGTGTCCACCAAAAACTGAAAAATAAATATTAAAAAATTCTCTCTCTCTCTTTCTTCTCTCTCTCTTTAAAAAATCCATAATACATAAATAACTCAGAAAACTTAACACCAAAATACACAAGTAACCCTAACTAATAAGTGCACAAATGAACTAAAGACACACTTCTCAAACGAAGAAATACAAATGGTCAAGTATACGAAAAAATAGCATTTTAGCAATTAAGAAAATTCAAATTTTCAGACACTGATATTTAACCTCACCCCAATTAGAATGGCAATCCTCAAGAACACAAAAAATAATAAATGCCACAGATGACACAGATGGGAAAAAATACTTTTAAACTGTTGCTGGGATTGTAAATTAGCACAGCCACTATGGAAATCTTTATGAAGGTTCCTCAAATACTAGGACTGGAACCACAATATGACCCCGCTATACCTCTCCTCAATAATTATCCTAAGGAATTAAATAAAGAAAAACAGTTGGGGAAAACCTTATGAAAATCAATGGAAAATTAGTAGAGTAGAAGAAAGGGTTCAGGGGAAGTGAGGAGGTAACAGAAAGGGGAAATACTGAAAAGTGATTTTGGCTGAATGACATTGTTATATTGGGTGCATGTATAAATATGTAATAACAAATCCTATCACAATTTACAACTGTAATCCAGCAATAAAAATAAATGGAAAAAAGAAACAAAAAGAAATGTTTGAAAATGCATTTATGTATCCATCAACAGATGGATGGATAAAGATAATGTGATATGTATACACAATGAAGTTCCACTCAATCTTAGAGAATAAAATGTCATTCTCAAAGAAACAGATGGAACTGGAGAACATAATGCTAAGTGTGATAAACCAGACTCAAAAAGTCAAGGGTCACATGTTTTCTCTCATATGTGGTAGCTAGAGAGAAAAGGAAACGTAAAGGACATTGTCAAAATGGAAAAAAGACAAAGACAGTAGGTAAAGGGAATGAGGGAGGGAGAAAAGAAAGGAAATGGGAAGTATATGGGAAAGAAACTGATAAATTTGTGCCATGTCCATGTATGACTATATCACAATACATCCTACCCTTATAGATAATTCTAATGTGTAAATAAAAACCTTTAAAAAACATGACCATACAGAAGTAATGACTCAAAGATGGTAGAATAGGACGATCCAGGTATCAGTCCTTCCAGAGAAACAACTACTGACTTAGTATGAACTTTCTAAAGCAACTGTTTTGAAACTCTGGAACCGAGCTGAAAACTATGTTATCAAGGGAAATATTTGATTAAGAAAATTTCTTATAAACCTCAGTGTCTCATGAACCAGCTACTCTTCCCCATAGAGCAGTACCCACTGCAGGTAGCTGTGAGGATACTGGATTACATTCCCTGCTGCATCTAGTTGACCTTAGAATGGGCAACAGGGATCCTGTCCCACAAAAACCACCTTTGTATGTTTTAGTCACTTGATCTGGATCACTAAGGGGCCATTACACAGGCTGGTCATTGTACAGTTTTCCATTCTCCCCCAAACTGAGAAAGGAACAATTATTTCAATTCACATTTTGTGATGCCAATTTTATATTTTTTAGCTTGTCTATAATCATTTTCTCTTCACCTGAGGTGTGGATTTTGTCTTTCATCAGGTAGATTATTAGTATCTATAGAACAGGATTCATGTATTCTAGCTATTTAAAATTCATTTTTAATTCTTCTATGATGCATATCTATAAAAACAAGATATGCTTAAAGTGATTGTCAAGAATGTCTTGCCTGACCACTGAACTAGCCCCAGTAACCATAGATTAATCAATGAACCACAAAATGTAGAAGCAATCAGATAACTGAGCCGTTGTTCACATTTTACCTCTTCCATTTTAATCAGGAAATAGTCAATGAAGTCCCGAGGATTGTTGATATCTAGAGATTCTTGGTGTTCTTTTATTTTCTCCAAAAAATACTGTTTTGTGTCAGCAGCATTCTTAAGGAATGTTTTATGGCTCCCTGGGAAATAATCAATGAGAACAGGAAAAGTGTTGCAGACCTACAAAATAAAAAATTTTTTATTAGAAACAGATAAGAAAAAGATGAATATTATGACTAGTCCATCTTAGAAACTATAACTTTAACAATTAAAAAAAATTGGTTTCCACCTTAAGGGAGAAGTTTTCACTGTACATACATACTAATACCCAAGCTTAAAGAAAGATTTAAGGGGCACAACTATGACCAGGGGATCAGAAATGATAACCTTTTCTATATTCATCCATCATCTTTAGATATAAAAATAAGTTTATATAAATTCTCTCCACTTTCAGTCTAATCTTTCTGTACAATCTGGAAATATAGCTTGATGTGAATTACCATGATTGATGCTTTGTAGATGAGAATTGAGTTTCAGGGAGTTTCGGTAATCAGGGAAAGAGTACAATCCTTGGAGATTATGAATTATGCTCAGTAGAGAGAAGCCAACAAGGGGAGGCTCAGGGGAAGTAGTGGGGACTGAATTAGGACACATTTTTCCATCATTCTATAATTACATCAAAAGGAATCTTTTTGTTATATATAACTAAAAAAAGAATAAGAAATCCTAAAAAATGAAAAAGAGAGCACAATGCCGCTCGCTGCTTTTCCTTATATAAAGCAGCCTCAGAAATGGAGTAAATACCAGAGAACGCAGAAGGCTTTGAAAATACTGTGAAACGCAGCTGGGCATGCTATGGATGAAGTAACCACGCACGAGAGTACTTAGTAGAATTCCGAAGATCTCACAATTAACTTTAATGAAGAATACAGAACCTGCCAGCTAAGCATCAGGTAAAAATGTTTGTTGAGGGCTATACACATGGAAATGCCATCATTTCATTAACTTAACCCTGTTACCATTCTGACTGAAGTAAGATGAAATATCAGTGTAGTTTTAATTTGCATTTCATAATTGCTAGAGATGTTGAACATGCTTTCATATATTTGTTGAACATTCATTAATTCTTCCTTGGAATCGTGTCTCTTTAGTTCCTTTGCCCACTTATTTATTGGGTTTTTTTGATAATTTGGTGTTTTTTTGAGTTCTTTGTATATCCTGGCATTAATGCTCTGATGTGCAGGTAGCAAAGATTTTCTCCCATTCTGTGGGGACTTCCTCCACATTCTTGATTGTTTCCTTTGCTGTGAAGAAGTTTTTAGTTTGATACTATCCCATTTATTGATTATAGATTTTATATATTATGCTTTAGGAGTTTTGCTGAAGACATTATGCTTATTTCATAAGCCAACATGATAGAGCTGGGCCTACTTTTTTTTTTCTAGCAGGTACAGGGGTCTGGTTTAATATCTAGGTCCTTGATCCACTTTGAGTTGAGATTTTTGCTGGGTGAGAGATAGGGGTTCAATTTAATTCTGTCACATATGGATTTCCAGTTTCCCCAGCACTATTTGTTAAAAAGGCTATCTTTTCTCCAACATATGTTTTGTATCCTTTGTCAAGAATCAAATAACTGTATTTGTGCCAAGGAACGTGATGACATTTCCAAGTGGTGATTGGAGTGCAGACCTTGTGAATGATAAATTTTTTATAGAGGTCTGGGTGTCCACTGAGTGCCATGACCTTCCTCAATGTAGTCACCAAAGTACTTTACAAATATTAGGCTTTATGGGGTATTAGGAAAAGCACTGGCCTGAAGCCAATAGGTTTGCATGTCATCTCTACATGTGGATATTCATTTTTCTGTGCATAAAGTGAAGGACTCAGTCATATTTTCCTGATGCTCACTATATGACACCAAACACTGGGTTAGACTGTGATGTTTAGACTCACTTTACTACTTGGACCACTAGAAGTTTTGACTTGCCAAAGTAAGAACATAAATGTTTTCTCAAGAAGAAGGGGTAGGATTTTTCTCACCTGGATCCATGGGGAGCTCAGAATAGCCACATTTTCATTTAATTTCCGCAGTAAGTTTAGAAAATGCTGATCTTTATAATCAAAACGATTATGGAAGATAATGGAGAAGATCACATTGCAGGGAGCACAGCTCAGGAAAAAAGTGGGATCACAGGGTGAGGCTAAAGAAGTGGAAACATTGAAAATTCACATTAAAAATACATTAAAGTATATTTCTCTTAGAGATAACAGGGAAAGGTAATTGTAGAAACTCTAAGCAATATCTATCTAGAAATTCCCTTGACATGAATAGATTCAGCATGCTAAAAATCATTACCCATTTTGCTATAATTTTGAATTGAATTTTACCTTCTAGACAATTTGATAATGATTTTCCTAATGCTCCATTCAAATCTACTGTGTTTTTAAGCTATTCTAATCCAAAGAAGCATGTATTTTGGAAAACATTTTAGAAGATCACTTTAAAAACCTCCGTTAATTCAATTTCAGTGCAGAATCATATTTGCCATTAAACCTGTAGATAATTAGGAATTATGTAGAAAGGAAAAGGATTAGGGACATTCACATATGTGGTGTGTGTGTGTGTGTGTGTGTGTGTGTATGTGTGTGTGTGTGTATACACCATTGAAAGATTTATGTGTAAAACCAGCAGAGGTAAAGACTAAACAGAGAGTAACTATGTACAATTTTGTATATTTGTGGAACAAATGAATACAAGCAGAAAATATATAAGTTTTACAAGGAAAAAAGGCAAATATATATATACAATGAAAATAAAAGTGAGAAATTCTTATATATTAAAGTAAATTCAAGGTAACACAGAAGTTAAGTGGAATGTGTTTCTTTCTTAATTTGAGAGACAGAGAAGGAAAAACAGGCAAATAGAACAATGAAAGAATGGAGATCCATAGGAGGGAAAACAGGTATCTACAATCAACTGATTTTCCACAAAGTTGCCAAAACTTATACTGGACAAAGGAAAGCCTTTCCAATAAATGTAGCATGCACAAGATTGCCACTTGATCCTTCTCACTCACCTGTACAAAATTCAACTCAAAATGGCTCAGAGACTCTACTGTAAGACCTGAAACCCTACACAAACTGGAAGAAAACATAACATAGTGGAAACACCTCAACATGGATACAAGTTATGATTATTTTGTATATGATCCTAAAAGCAAAAATAGGCAAGTAGAATACATCAAAATGAAAAGTTCCTACACAACAGTCAATAGACTGAGAAGACATCCTACAGAATAGGAGATAGTATTTGTCAATTATTCATCTCACAAAGGATTAAAATTGACAATACATAAGAAAACAAACAAATAAACCCCAAGTAATACAATTAAAAATGGGCAAATAGGGCTGGGGCTGGGGCTGGGGCTCAGCAGTAGCACCCTTGCCTGGCATGCATGAGGCCCTGGGCTCAACTATTAGCACCACATATAAATAAATAAAATAAAGGTCTATCAACAACTAAAAAGAATATTTAAAGAAAAATGGATAAATAATCTTAGTAGGCACTTTCAATAGAAGAAATACAACTGAATACTAAATACATTTTTAAAATGATCAATAATATTAAGCCACCAGGCAAATGCAAATCAAAACTACCAAGAGATATCATTTTACCCTGGTTAGAATGGCAATCATCAAAACATGAAAATGAAAATAAGAAACACAAATTACCACCACTACCACCACAACAACCAATAACAAACATTGGAGAGGTGTGCAGAAAAAGAACACATTATACCTGTTGGTGGGAATGTACATTAGGATAACCATTATAAAAACACAGTATGGAGTTTCCTCCTACTTTTTTTTCCTGCTTCTGGTACATAGATGAAAGAAATGAAATCAAGACACAACATACATTGCTGCACGTTCAGGATAACTATAACACTATTCATAATAATTTAGATATCATATTAAATTAAGTGCTTATCAACAGAATAGTGACTAAAGATGCTCCGTTACATACACGATGTATCTGTATTCAGTCATAAAGAAGAAACAAATCTTGTCATTTACAGCAAAGAAGAGAGAACTGGGGGACTTTATGTTAAGTAAGAGGTCAGAAACAGAAAGTCAAGTATTTCTGGTCTCTCTCATGTGTGAAAGCTAAAATAAATATGACCCTGAAAGTAGAAGAGTGATCACTGGAGATGGGAAAGAGTATGTGCTGGTGGTGAGTAGGGCAGAGTGACAGAGAGGATGGAATTTAAACAGTATATGTTCACACATATATGGGAATACCATAGTGGCTTTCATTAATATGGACTGATTATAATAAATACAATAGAATAATTTGAAATAAACAAAAAAATAATAATGCAAAGAAAGCATAGAGCATTGGGTAAGGGCAAAGCTTTCAGGTTATCTACTCCTCCATTAGGCTCTGTAAATGTTCCAGGGTTCAAAGCTTTCAGAACAAAGGTTTCTTTCAGTTATAGAGTTGTAGGGTAATTAGGGAAAACTGGGAATTTCTTTTGTATATTATTCACTGGTAAAGTCTGATTTTTGGTCAGTCTTTCTTTCTTTCTTCCTTTTTCTTTTTCTTTTTCTTTCTTTTTTTTTCTTTGTTAATTTGAAAGACAAATTTAAAAACAGAACAATCTGAATCCAAGCTGAAAATCAGAGACACTGTGAAAAACACTTTGGGTCAGTAAAAAAGACAGGAGAGGTAAGTATTTAGTGTAATCATAATTATTGAGACTTTCTGTAGGAATACTGGCTGTGGAAATGTACACAGAAGCATTTCCCTGGTGAGCAAACACCCAGAGGGTAACAGGCACTCTGTTTCCCACCCTTAGAATGCCCTGCAGTTTCTCCTAGGAACTAGTAAAATAACTGTATACATATGCGATGTCTAGCTGCTATAGCAATGCCCTACTTGAAAGGGCTCTGTGCTAGAGTCTTATCAGCCTCAACCTTGATCTTTGGCACATAGCTTCTGAGAATAAAGGAATCTGCTTGCTAGAAAACGACAATGTTTCACCAAGCTAAGGTACTCCTGGATTGGCCTGCCTAACAGTAACTTCAGAAAATGGATTTTCTTGAGAGTTTCACAAATCTTCTGACATTACATATTATAACTGTAGAATGTAACTGCAGTATAAGCAACCTTACTGATACACTAAACAATAACGTAGTTGTGGTACTAATGACCTAATGTAACCTATTGGTATAAATAAACATGGTTGCTTGGACAAACAGCCATTTTTTCCTGCCTCTATATCTTGTCTCTGTGTCCCATTATTATTTTCCTTACAACTCTCCAGGAGATATGCCAATAAATGTAAAACCAGAGATTAGTATAATTACTAGATACTGGCCTTGGAAGAAACCATGAGTGAAGTCAGAAAGCAAAAGAGACTGATATAACGAATCACTCACACTTGGTTTTCCTCAACTCCTCCACAAGGCAGCGGGCTTCCTCTTGAACTCGGTCTTCAATGCTCCTCTTCCCCATCCCAAAATTCCTCAGAGTCATGACTGAGAAGCGCCTCATCACTTTCCATCTGTTTCCAGAAGTTAAAAGGATTCCTAAATGAAAGAGAGCAGAATCTAGGAGGATACCCCAGGCAAGGTAGAGGAAGAAGATAGATAAGTGGCACCCACAGAAATGGTCAAGCTCAACCTGGCTTTCTCTTCTATATTTTCCTCCTCCCCATGACCATTGCTCAGCCACCTCACATGCATGCACACTTACCAAGTCCTTCAGTAACTCTCTCAACCACAGGGAAACTGCCTCTTCCAGAAAATACTTCCCCATGATCAATCAGGGCTTCCTTCACAGCTTCATAGCCATGCAACACCACAGTGGGCCTCGTACCCAAATACACAGTGAACACAGGGCCATAGGCTTTTGACAACTGGAAAGGAGAAAGAAAGTGCAGATATTAGCTGGAGAAGATCAGCATTTGATCTTCATGTTCAGAATGATTCAGACTGTTATTTGGTTTACTCTCAGTATTATCTGTTATATTTTATTGTGTCAGATGAATCTTCAAATATTTTTGAATTGTGTTCCTAAATGTGATGGAAATCATAGCTGTCACTTATTGATGGTCTACGATGTGCCACCATAGCGAATCCTCACATTAATGCATCTAGAGGACTTATTTATTCTGTTTTACATGCAAAGGAAATGCAGTAAGAGAGTTACAAATTTATTTGTGGTGTGCCATGTATAATAAACAGAAGAACCAAATCTTAACATTTTATTTTTCAACTTCTGAAGTATACCAATTTATCAGTCCCCAGTGCTTACCCATCTTTGCACTAACACCCAGCTGATTAGCAGGGCTTGTGGCATTGAGATTTTGATTGAGTAAGCTCATGATGAGAACTGGAAGTCTATATTTTTAAAAGTGACTCCAGATGATCTTAAGACTCATAGGTTGAAATCACAGCTATCACTAACACAGCAAGAGAGTGAATACCAGGGAGGCAGCACCAGGCCATGCAGCATCTCATGGAAGAACAATTTCTCTCACCTGGCAGCTATTCATGGGGTACAGACTTAAGCTTTGTGCAAAACCCACAAGGATTCTGTTAACACCCAGTGGACCCTGAATGGTTAATTCTTTCTTTCCTTCACTGTCTTAGGCTAGTTCTCAACCCATAGGTGTTTTTTTCCCCCATTAATGGCTTTATTGAGGTTACATTGAAAATTAAAAAGTGTATACATTTAGAGTGTAAAATGATATTTAGATTTATGTAGACACTGCAAATTGATTATATCTATAATGTATGCATCATATATATGTCTCACCTCTGTGTTAACATTTTCATGTGTGTGGGGTGAAAACATGTCAGTTAATTTCAGGTGTAACATGCATTATTATTTACTGCAGTTAGTATGCTGTGTCTTAGGTCCCCAATGCTTATTCACCTTGTAACTGAATATTATACCCTTGGACCAACATCTCATCTTTTTTCTCACCTCCCAGCCCCCAATTAACCACCATTCTAGTCTCTATCACTATAGTTTGAGGCTTTTTGCTTTGTTTTGTAAGATTCCACATATAAGTGAGATCATATAGTGAAGGGCTTTCTGTGTGGCTCCTTCCCTCATCATAAAGGCCTCTAGGCTCATTTCATGTTGGGATAATTAACAGGCAATCCTTTTATAAGACTTAATAAGATTCTATTTTATATATAAAATACATTTGATTCATGCGTTCAGCCACAAGTGGATGCTTAGGTTGGTGTCATTTCTTAACTATTGCAGATAATGCTGTAATAAATATGGAGTGTGAATGCCTTTTAACATACTGATTTCATCTCTTTGCATATATATTAAGAAGTGGGCTATTGGATCAAATGGTAGCTCTATTTTTCAATATTTTGAGGAAGCTGAAAACACAATCATTTCTGTAATGGCTGTATCAATTCACATTCCCACCACTGCTGCACAAGATTTTCCTCTTTTCTACATCTTTGCTAACCCTTGCTATGTATTGATCAATATTTGAAGATTTATCTGATAAATATAATGAGAATAAACTGAATAATAGTCTGAATCATTCTGAACATGTAGATCAAATGCTGAGGTGTGAGGTGATATCTCCCAATATATTTTATTCACCTTGTTCACTGATATGGCTAAAAGGACCCAACCATAAAAACTATAGAGGAGAAAAAGTTTATTTGAGAGCTCACAATTTCAGAGGTCTTAGTTCATAAAAGGCCCACACATTCCTTAGGGCCTAAGGTGAAGCAGAGCAGCATGGTGGAAGTGTGTCACTGAGGGAAACAGCTCACATGGTAATCAGGACAGAGAGAGAGAGAGAGAGAGAGAGAGAGAGAGAGAATCACCACTTGCCAAATACAAATATATACCTTATATTCATGCCCCCAATGTACCACTTCCTCCAGCCACACCCCACCAGCCTTCAGCTACCACTCAATTATTCCCACCAGGGAGTAATTAACTGATTAGTTTAAGGCTATAACCCAATTATTTCTTTTCCAAACCTTCTTACATTTTCTCACACAAAGCTTGTGGGGGATGTTTCACATCAAAACCATAACATTGTGGTTTTGAATTGCATTTTCCTGATGATGTGGTCATCTTTTCATATCCTCTTGAAAAATTTGCATGATTTTTGGAAAAATATCTATTCATATTGTTTTTACTCCTTGAAACTCTAGCAAGAGCAATTAGACAAAAGAAATTAAAGGGATTCAAATAGGAAAAGAAGAACTCAAGTGACTACTATTTGCCAATGACATGATTCTATACTTAGAGAATCCAAAAGATTCCACCAGAAAACTTGTAGATTTAATAAATGAATTTGGCAACGTAGTAGGATATAAAATCAATACCCATAAATATAGTGTATTTCTATATATCACTGATAAAGCCTCTGAAAGAGAAATTAGAAAAACCATCCCATTCACACTAGCCTCAAAAAATAAGAAAATACTGGGAATCAATTTAAGAAAAGAGCTGAAAGATCTCTACAAGGAAAACTACAGAACACTAAGAAAGAAATCAAAGAAAACCTTAGAAAACAGAAAGATCTCTCATGCTCTTGAATACGCAGAATTAATGTTGCCAAATTGCTATACTACCAAAAGTGCTATACAGATTAATGCAGTACCAATTAAAATCCCAGTGTACCACATAAAGTAGAAAAATCAATCATGAAATTCATTTGGAAAAATAAGAGTCTCAGAATAGCCAAAGCAATCTTTAGCAAGAAAGGTGAAGCAGAACACATCACAATACCAGACATTAAACTATACTACAGAGCCATAGTAACAAAAACAGCATGTTATTGGAGCCAAGACAGACATGTAGACCAAGGGTGCACAACAGAAGACACAGAGACAAACCCATATAAATACAGTTATCTCATACTAGACAAACGAACCCAAAATACACATTGGAGAAAAGATAGCCTCTTCAACAAATGGTGCTGGGAAAAACTGGAAATCCTTATGTAGCAAAATAAAATTAAACCAAACCTTGCATGGTCTCACAAGTGAGCTTGTAGGGAATGCTTCACTTCTAAACTATAACATTGTGGTTTTGAATTGCATTTTCCTGATGACAAGTGATGTGAGCATCTTTTCATATCCCATTGGCAATCTGAATGCTTTTTGGAAAAATATATATTCATATTCTTTGTCCATTTTCTATTAGTAGATTTTAGTTATAAACATTACTGTGGCTCCTTTATAAAATTTAAGTACTAGTGCTCATTTTGATATAATTCTGCAAGCATGGAATACAATATTGTTTCTCCTTTTCCTCCCTTGTCCTTAACCCTTAAACCTTTCCTCTACTCTACTAATATTTCTTCTATCATTTTTAGTGCTTTTTTCAAATTAGAGCCTTGTGAATACACACAAAACTAGATTCATTGTAGTATATTCATATGTGAATTTTGTCAAATTCATTGCACAGTTCTTCATTTTTGCCATCCCTTCTCTCTCCCTTCAATTCCGGTTTTCTATTCCACTAATTTCTATTTTTGTGGAATCTACCCTTTTAATTTTTGCCCATTATTTTTGTTTAGCTTTTGCATATCAGAGAAAACATTTGATCCTTCACTCTCTGGATCTGGCCTATTTCATTTAGTATGTGGCCTCCGGTTTAACTTGTTTTCCATCTTGCCCATTTTTAATAAGGTTATTTATGAAGTTTTTTTTAGTTTAATTTTGTTTTGATTTTGATTTTTTAGTTTCTTATAAATTTGGATACTCTATTCTCCCTTCTATAGGGTCTTTTCTTTTTGTAGATTGCTTCATTTGGTATGCAGAAATGTTTTCAGAATGATTTAGTTTTACTTTTGTATTTATATTTTTGCATGTGATTTTGGTGTAAAATAAAAAAAATAAAATAAGGTAAAATAAAACCATATTAAAATAACACTTTAAAAAAAGATAAAAACAAGAATGCCAGATACTGTGGGGTTTAGCCCCAAGAGGGAGGGATGGGGCAAATTTTATGCATGGGTACTCAGATTTAGATTGGAAAAATAAGTCCTGGGACTTTGTTGTGCAATAGGGTGATGATAGATAATGTGCTGCTCATTTTGAAACAGAAGAGAGAACTTCAAGTATTTTTATCACTAATAAATGATAAATATTTCAGGCAATAGGTACTTTTATGTAAATTTGAACATTACACAAGATACACAGATATCAAAACATGAAATGGTGGCTCATAAATATGCATGATTCTTATGTGTAAATTAAAAAGGGACTGTAAACAAAGCATTGGTAGATCAAGATTATGGAACATCTTTTCCATGTTTTCTTCTAGTGATTTTATAGTTTCAGGTCTTCCATTTGTCTTAAATCTATTTTGAATTGATTTTTGTGTATATGTTAGAAATGAGTCTAGTTTGTTTTTTGCATGTGTATGTAGTTTTCCAAATGTCATTCAGCAAAGAGACTATTCTTCCCTCATGTGTATTCCTGGCCCTTTTGTGAATAATTAATAGGTGTATTTCCTAGATTCTTCATGGAATCCATGGGTGTATGCATCTTCTTTATGCCTACACTGCCATGTTTTGTTTACTGTAACTATGTACATATATTGAAGCCCAGATTTCTTACATAAGATACCATTTGTTATTCAGAATCTTTTGAGGTTGTATGCAAATTTTAAGACTTGATAAATTTTTGTGAAATATACTATTGAATTTTTCATAGGGATTGCATTGAATCTGTATATCACCTCAAGTAATTACAATAATAATTCATCTAACATGTGAACAAGGATTATTTTTTTCATGGATTTCTGTCTTCTACAAATTCTTTCATTGATATTTTATATATTTTTTATTTTTTACCTTGTTTAAATTTATTACTAAATATTTTATTCTTTCTCATGGTATTGTAAATGAAATACTTCTTTGAACTTTTATCATTTTGTTGTTAAAAATGCTGCTGAATTTTGTATAATATTTGTGTATCCTGCTTATTTAGAATTCATTTATTGTTCTAGTTGTTTTCAGATAAAGTTTGGAGTATTCCACAACAGAGACTAATTTGCTTCTTTCTTTGTGATTTCTTGCTTATTTTTTCTCTTTCTTGTTTATTTTTTCTGGTTGGATTTCAGTTCTCTGCTGAGTAAATGTGGGCATTCCTGTCTTTTCCCTAATTTTGGAGGAATACCTTTCAACTTTCACTATGGAGCATGGTTCTAGATATTGGCTAGTCACACATGGCCATTAGTGTTATGTAAAAAATTCCTTCTGTACCATGTGTTTTTTAAAGTATTATCATCAAAGAATATGGAATATGTAAAAGGCTTTTTGCACCTATTGAAATAGGCATGTGCTATTTGCCCTTGATTCTGTTGAAATGATGTATCACATTTATTAATTCATGCATGTTGAATCATCCTTGGATGTCAGGGATGAATCCTCCTTGATCACAGTGGATAGATCTCTTTTAACATGCTGGAGCACAGAAAACTGTTGATAAAATGGCAGTGTTCTTCCTAGCATTGGAGAAGTTATTTTTGAGCTTTTATACCATGGCATTGCTGTGATGGACTCCTAAGTCTTCTGGAACTTTTTTCATTTCTAGTTATTTCTCTTATTGTTGTTCTTGAGCAAAAGGAAATGAAGAATATTGTACTTCACTATCTTACTGACAGTCTATCTCATAGGTATTTCTTAACATGAGGTAGTTTTCTTCTTCAGAGAAACTTAATTTTGATAAATAAAAAATACCTACAAGCCATGCACCAGGTCACTTTTTTAATGAACTGGAGGTGGCAATAAGTGTTACAGATGTCAAAATAGAAACTGAACATTTGCCCTAAGGCTGTACATCTGTTAATAACAATAGTGCTATTTCTTGCTCAGTGCTTCCTCTAAGGAGATTTGCAAAGTAAGTGGGTCACTTCAGGTTCACCTAGTAGACATTTTGCTCCCAAACAATAATTGCAACTCAGCCCAGTAACAACGAATTTCACCCCACACATGTTCTAATCAAACCTTAGCCTCAATATTACTTCAATAAATAGAAATGAGGAGAAAAAAAGACCCAAATCAACAAGTAGGCCTCAAAGAGGACAACCAGAGGGAGACCTCAGGTCACAACCCTGAACCTACTCATGTATCAAAAACAGAGAGAAGTCCCAAAACAACAACAACAACAAAAAATATAACTATACACAAAAGGACATAGATAGAATATAGAAAGAAGAATCCATCTCAATTGAAGAAAAAGCCAATACCTCTGAAAACTTAATGAAATAGACAAAAAAAAAATCTTCCCCCTTAAATCACAATACCTCAGCAAGGAATCCCACTGATATAAAAGTAGGTGAAATTAATAGATAAATGATTATTAAGATGTTCAATAAATTAAAGGAAGCCCTGAGGAATAAATTAGAGAAAACTCAGGGTTGAAAGAGAATTTCAGTAAAGAAATAGAGATATTAAAAAGAAACTAGTCAGAACTGTAAAGATAAGGAAATAAAAATTCACTCAAAATCATCATGAACAAATTAGATTGTACAGAAAATAGAAAATCAATCAGAGTAATTGATTATGAAACAATGAAGGAAAGGGGTACTACAATTTTCCCATTTTAATATTTCCATCAAAATATTAAATGTGATTTTTTTTGGTCCCAGATACATTCTTTACATTACCTCTAACAATGAAAAACTATAAAAAGCAATGGAAACATCAAAATCCACAGAGAATATTTGTGGTGCAATAAACTCTTTTAATAATTTGCCAGTGCATATATTTAATTGAAAATGGAGGATTAATTTATTTACAATTCACAACCCACTGGATAAACATCAACATACTTACTTTAGTTAAGGATTTGCTGATGTTTTTAGCATCTATCTGCAGGATATTCCCAAGAATTGGGAGAGGCATGGGTCCTGGTGGGAGTCTCCCTCTCCCAGATCTCTGTCTCCATAGTGAAAGGAGAAGAATGCAGGAGAGACTGATCACCAAGGCCACAACTGGATCCATTGAAACCTTCTTTTACTGAGACAGCAGTGAACTTGCAATCAATGTAAAACTTTTATAGTGGTCCCTGTTAATCAGAATGTGTCTTACTTAAAAACTGCTGAGCCAATCAACTAGAAAAGTTGCAATCATTCTGAGTGTACATAGGTCACTTGATAAGGATTAAAACAAACTATTATTTACTTGTGTCTTTCCAAACCTCTAACCATGAAAATCTAATTCAGCCACTCTGAGTTCCCAGGAATAGGCATTTAAAAAAAAAACAAACACACAAGCACTCAACCTTTGGTGGTAACCACGTGCAGCTAGGATTTTATCCAAAACATGCTGGATTCTCAGACTAATGACTGCTTGGAAATTCATGACTTGGGGGAAATCAGTGTATCTCTAAATTTTATATAAAATTATTGAACTTGTGATATTTCATCAAACAACAAGATGGTTTGTCTTTGAAAATCAAACCTCTTAAATATTTTTAAATGTTGACCTAACATCGCAAGTGACTAAGTATAAACTGGGTAGTACAATTTAAACATTTTGAAATACCAAACGTACATCATGACATAACTAAATAAAAGTATATACCATTTGCTATGTAGCATCTCAATACCCTCCCAATCTTGAGGAGCAGAGGACAGAGATTCTTATTTTTTATTAGGCAAATGGGGAAACAGAGATTCTGTGAGCATGGGAGACCTTCATTCACACAGCTCACAGGGGTCCGAACTGGAATTTGAATGAGCTCCAATGCCCATAATGGGTGTGCTACGGCTTACATCAGAGCTGCCTCCAAAGCCACCTTAGAAGAGTAAAGAAAACACCACACTGACTCTGTTCCTAGACCAACAAGCTTCCCATCAAATCAATACCCATTATTTACTCCAAGGTTAACTGGGTCATAGATTCCACAAAAGAAAGAGGCACAGAAGAGCTTCTCCTGCTCCATCAGTACAGAGGTAAAACTTACTTGGCAAAACTGAGGAAGAGACAATCTCAAAACTATGAAGGGAGAGGCTTGAGAAACGATGGCTCTGCCAATCTCTCACCTCTTCCAGATGGGACTGCTTCTCTCGCTGGTTAGTATGTATTTAGATGTAATGGAATGAAAAGTATCAGACCATAAACAATAATACTGGAGACAGAAAAAGAGGCAGATGTTTTAGAGGTAGATAGGAGGCAAATAGTATACCGAACAGACTCTCAGCCCACAAGAAACAATATGCAAGCTGGTATATGAGACAGTATTTGGAAGTTGTGAATTGCATGTCATTGGATTGATGTAAACTACTAGATCACTAATGGTAATGCTGTACCAATAAATATATTGCATTTGTTTTAAATTGGAGAGCAGTGTTATTCACAATATATTTAATAAGGAAAATTGCTGTGAAGACCCTGTTACATAATATTTAGTATTCATATATACAAGTATTGTCAAAATTAACATGTAATTTCTCACATATATAACTTTTGATTTTTAAATTACTTTTTTCTTTTATTTATTTATTCATTCTAATTTGTTATCTATGATAACAGGATTCATTCCAATTCATAGTACACATGTGGAGCAGGATGCATTTCAATTCATATTGCACATATAGAGCACATTTTTCATGTCTGTGTTTGTACACAATGTAGAGTCACACCATTCCTGTCTTCTTACATGTACTTGGGGTAATGATATCCATTTCATTCCACCATCTTTTCTATGCCCTTGCACCCTCCCTTTCCCTCCATCCCCTTTGCCCTATCTAAAGTTCCTCCATTCCTCTCATGCTTCTCCCCATCCTCGTTATGGATCAGCATACTTATATCAGAGAAAACAGTTGGCATTTGTTTGGGGTTTTTTATTTTTTTGGCTTACTTGACTTAGTATAATATTCTCCAACTCCATCCATTTACCTGAAAATGCCATGATTTTTTTCTCTTTTAATGCTGAGTAATATTCCATTGTGTATATATACCACAGTTTCTTTATCTAGTATTCTACTGAAGGATATCTAGGTTGGCTCCACCCTTTGGCTAATGTGAATTGTGCTGCTATAAACATTGATATGGCTGCATTAATATAGTATGCTGTTTTTAAGTTCTTGGTTTATACTCAAGGAGTGCTATAGCTGGGTCACATAGTGGTTCCATTCCATGTTTTCCAAGGAATCTCCATACTGCTTTCCATATTGGTTGCACCAATTTGCAGTCCCACCAGCAATGTATGAGTGTGTCTTTTTCCCCACATACTCACCAATACTTATTGTTGTTTGTATTCTTCATAGCTGCCATTCTGACTGGAGTGAGATGAAATCTTAGAGTAGTTTTGATTTGCATTTCTCTAATTGCTAGAGATGTTGAGCAATTTTTAATGTATTTGTTGATTGATTGTGTATCTTTTTCTGAGAAGGGTCTATTCAGTTCATTAATTTTTTTTGATTTCTAGATATTCCTGGATCAATTTTGGTAGGTCATCTGTGCCTACAATGTCCATTTCTTCTAGATGTTTCAATTTACCAGAATATAAGATTTCATAGTAGTCTCTAATGATCCTCCAGATTTCAGCAATGTCTATGAATACATCACCATTTTCATCTCTAATTTTATTAATTTGGGTCTCTCTGTGTCTCTAGGATCACTTAGGTTTTCTTTATCTTGTTTCTCTATTCAAAAGACCACTCTTAATTACCTTGATTTTTTTTGTATTTTTATTGTTTATTACATTAATTTTAGCTCTGACCTAAATTATTTCTGTTCTTCTGATTATTTTGGAAATGAATTCCTCCTATTTTTCTAAGTTCTTATAATTCATTTGAAATTTTCTAATTTTTTATGTACACAATGATATAGACTTTCCGCTAAAAAGTCTAAAAAATCAAAGTGTTTCAGAGATGATGTTATATGTTAATTATTGTTTAAATAGAGGAGTTTTATATTTTTATCCTGACTTCTTCTATCTCCCACTCATCATTCAAAAGTGTATTGTTTAATCACCAGGTATTTCTATTTGTAAAGTTTTTCTTACTGTTGATTGCTAACTTCATTCCATTATGATCTGGCTGTTGATTTCCAATTCATTACATCTGGGATTCAAGAAATTTATAGGTTTCTTGTGTTGGCAGTCCTTCCTTTGTATCCAAAAATATTGTCTCCTTTGGAGAAGGTTACATGAGCAGCTGGAGAAAAAGTTAATTTAGCTGGATTATGTATATGATAGATGTCTGCTCAGTCCATTTGATTTATAATATTTATAGGTCTGAAGCATCCTTAATGAGTTTATGTCTGGATGCCTTATCTATTGGTGGGAGAGATGTGCTAAAATCACCACTATTATTGTATTGGGGTCTATCTGAGTCTTTTAAGTCAAGTACTTTGGTTGTGCATAACTAGGATGACAGACATTTGAGGAATAAACTTTTGCTACTGTTTTATCTTCTTTTGGGGTTGTTCCCTACGGTATAAATTGACATTCTTTGTCTCTTTTGATTAATTAAATGGATGCTTGTTTTGTCGATATGAAAATACATACTCGTTGTGGGACTCCATTTGCATGAAATATTTTCCCATTCTTTCAATTTTAGCTTATGGCTCTGATTGACTATGAGTGTCTTGCAAGCAACATATATCTATTTTTTAGTTCATTTTTTTAATTTGGAAAATTAAAACCATTTATATTCAGTGTTATTATGCATAAATGTTTATTAATTCCTGTCATTTTGATATTTTCTAATGTTTAATTTTATCATATTTACCATTTGATTAGCTATTTTCTTAAATGAGATTCAACCATTCATTCATTCTAAAGTTTGTATATAATGGCTTCTGTTTGCTTTAAGTCTTTTCTGATGTGCTGGCCTAGAACTCATCAATTGTTTTGCTTTCTGCTCACTTTGAAAGTTTTTTTTTTTTTAATATTTCCTTCAATTCTGAAGGATAGTTCTGCCTGATTTATCAACCTTAGTTGACAATTCTTTTCCTTTTTAGGACTTTTTAGGGCCATCTTTTGATGAAGTGTTCTGGAATATCAGGAGATTATATATATATATATATATATATATATATATATATATATATATATATATTTGTTGTTTTTGTTGTTAGAACATGAGGATGCCACTTTCTTTATCTCACAAGATCTGGGTCTTTCTAGTAGGTCAGGCAATTGTGTTGTGTACAGCTTAGTATCTGGGATACACCATCTGTTATTGCTTTTTTAGACTTGAAAACTCTGTATTCTCTAAAAGCCAAAAGGGCATGGGAGTAATATAACTGGAGGCCCTCTGTGGATTTGATATCCATGGTCTTTTTGTTATTTTTCTCTTCTGTTGCTGTAGGAGCAGGGGACCATTAGTAGGACCTGAGGCTTGTCCTAACCATTTCTACTCAGGACCTGGTAGGATTGTAACAAAAAGAATAGGATTTTTTCCTTATTCTTTTTGTTACAATTTTGCTGAAATTCGAGTGGGGTTAGGTTGTGTGTGCAACAAAGTGCATTCTCTTAGTTGCTTGGGGGCTTAACTCAGCAGCACAGTGCCTACTATGGAAATTTGTGGTCTCATACTAGATTTTCAGCACCACATAGAAAAATGGAAGAATACCCAAAGGACTTAAAAACAGAATATTGCAGATATATAGCCATATCAATGTTTATAGCAACTTCAATTCACAAAAGCTAAATTGTGGAACCAACCCAGATGCCCTTCAGTAGATGAATGGATAGGGAAACTTTGGTGTATATACACAATGGAACATTACTCAGCATTACAAGAAAATAAAATCATAGCATTTGCTGGTAAATGGAGGGAGTTGGAGAATATAATGCTAAGTGAGGCAAGCCAATCCCCAAAAATCAAGGGCTGAATGTTTTCTTTGATATTAGGATGCTGACTAATAATGGCAATGAGGGAGGGAGCATGGAAGGAATGGAGGAACTTTAGATAGGGCAAAGGGGAGGAAGGAGAAGGGAGGGGAAAAGGGGTAGCAATGATGGTGGAATGAGTTAGACATCATTACCC